TTCCCAAACTTTTCTTAGTCACAGTGCCTTTTATTTTCAATTAAAATGTTTCCACGGCGCCCTAACCTAAGTAAAAGTGTGACTATTTGTATGTAGGAGATAAAAATAATAAAACTCGTGTATCTTCGAATATTTCGCGGCACCGCTGTGAGGAGTTCGCAGCTCCCTGGGGCGACACGGTGCACAGTTTGGGAATCACTGAATTATTACATTCTATCTTCTTATCTATAAATAAACAGAGAGGGGAACCATTTGAAGCCGTTAAATATTATGAATTAATCAAGTAACAGAAAGTATTGTGAACGGCATCATAGAAAGAAGTAGAAAGATAGAAGAACACACTAGACAACATAAAAATCGAAAGCTATAGTTACCGTGCCTCTGTCACCTCACGGCGTCTGCGCCTTGAATAACGTAAATTGTTGCTGTGATTGTTATTTGACATTTGCCTCGTTAATATAAATTTCTGTAACCTATGGTATGGGTTGAAATGAATTCTGTCCATATTCCATAGTCTGGATTTAGCTGTACGATAGACATGGCCTGAGCTTTTTTTGGGGGTGCCGAGTTCTTATCTTAGTGCACTTGTATTCATGGCGAGGCGCAGACGCCGTCTGGAGGTGACAGGTTCAATTCCCGGCACGGTAACTATAGCTTTCGATTTTTATGTTGTCTAGTGTGTTCTTCTATCTTTCTACTTCTTTCTATGAGTGCCGTTCACAATACTTTCTGTTACTTGATTAATTCATAATATCTTCTTATCTGTGTATTTCCCTATAAATGTAATCTGTTATTATATTCTCTTTCATTCTTTATGACTTCCTTCAAATTTTATCAGCTATTACATTATCTTTCTGTATGTATTTTCTTAATATATCTATATGCATTCTGCTGTATTCTTATTTGTCCCATTTGTATCATCCTATTATACTAAGCATTTGTTTTACATTCCCATCTGTCTCAATGTATTGTCCCATTATTCTCATCATTTGTTTTACATTCTCATATGTCCTCCATGTATTGTCCCATTATTCTCAGCATTTGTTTTACATTCTATGTCCTCCATGTATTGTCCCATTATTCTCAGAATTTTTTTTTTTACATTCTCATCTGTCCTCCATGTATTGTCCCAATATTCTCAGCATTTGTATTTTATTCTCATCTATCCTCCATTTATTGTCACATTATTGTCAGCATTTGTATTTTATTCTCATCTGTTATCCATGTATTCTCAGCATTTTTGATGTTTTGTTTGTCCTTTATGTATTTCTCCTATAACTCCAGCCAGATGTCACAATATGCTGCAGTTTTCTCTCTGTGTGGCTGGTCACCCACTTAGAACAAAGCACAAACCTCTGTACTTCTAGTGACCACCGAGATCTAAACCTGGACCCATAACTAAAGACAGTCTGAACATGAAACAGTGACATTCAGACACAAGGCAAATGGCATAACCACTCTGCCATGTTTAAAAAGTAGTTCATGTGGTAACTGCCATATTATGCCTCATTACGCTTCATTCACCAAAAATATAAGTCCTCTCTCACGTCCTGATTACAGGTGTAATTGTGTTATCATTTTATTTCATTTGTAAAAGATTATCAGACATAATTGAGCAGTGTACACAGGTAGTTGTCAATCTGATACAGACTTCTAGAAACTACACGAACAATTCCCATATATTTTCAGTTGCAATAGTGGTTCATTGCTATGTATATATACACACAATGAAACACTGCAAATAAAAATGAACATTAACATTTTAAACAAATGTGCACAGATAATAACAAAATATTTTTTTGGCTTATATCACCATAACTGAATTATCCCACATGAATGAAAATTAGCCACATTCATCATCATCAGAACTATTAATTTAATTGCATTTTTTAAATCTAAACCAATTTTCCAATCCACTTTAAAGTTCATTAATATGCTTTATACGTTCTTTTTTGTTATTTTTAAGCCCCCACACTGGCTCTTGCCAGGGGCCGCAATATAGCCTGACCATAAATATGGCCTAATGGCTGAGCGCAGTTTCCAGGTCCTCTCCACAGGGGATCCTCATCCACATGGTGGCACTTTGTGTCATTGGGTGTTTATCGCTTGTGTGATGTCCTAGTGGGGTAAAATGTACTACTACTACTACTACTACTACTACTACTACAAGTGTATAAAAATATTTAATAAATCCATGAATGTGCCACTGAAATAATAATATGTGAACCAATCACTGTGTGAACTATTGTAACATTCTTATGCATGTATCTCATGATGCACATTTTTAAATATTTGATTCTGTCTCCAAGATCAACCCAAACCAGCACTGTGTGGACATAATCATCTGCTGAGTGCTGAATGGTCCATAAAAATATTGTTTTAACACCATATGCCCGGAATGAAAAGGGTCCTTTACTTTTTTACTTCTCATCAAGTACTTTGAAAACTGGCATGAGTGATCATGTCTCTGCACAACCTCCATCTCATGACTGTTAACTAATACTACAAACATTCCATTAATAACAATTATATTTTTAAAATCATTTAAAACTTAATATTTTAAAGGATTTTTTCAGATAAATATTTTGTGGTTCTATAAATGTTTATAGTGTTAAAAACAAAACAATAATTTAATGTATGTATCAAAGCTTAAGACAGCACAGGCGGAGCATAATGGTGCCATGAACAAAGTCTGAAAAGCCCTGCTTTTGAAAGAAACATTATTACAAGAAAGACTGCAAGCCTTGAGATGTTTACATATTGATGACTCTTTAAATTACATGTCCCGTGTGAAGTAACTATTATCTTTAGTTATAAAATAACAACTTTCACCTTCTTCTCATTTATCTTCTAATTGTTAGTTTCTTCATTTGTATCATCTTCTTCTGTTGATATGTTTCATCTTCATCATCTTCAAGTATTTGATTTCATCTTATGCTCTATTTCTCTTTATTTCTGTCATTCTTACCTTCTTCTCTGTGCCCATCTTTGTGATCTTCTTCTCTTTGTATTTGTAATTATCTTCATGAGCTTCTTTTCATCTTTGTCATCTTCTTCTCTTCAATATCTTCTTTTCTGCACATTGGTCTTCTTCAACTGCATTCTTCTTCTTTTCTTCTTCGGCATTCCAAGTCCTTGAGGTTCACTGTGGCAGATATCACCCGCCTTCTCTTTCCAGTTGGTGACACCAAGTGTTTGTAGGTGTGTCTGGATATTATCTCTCCATTGTCTTCTTGGTCCGCTTCATGGTATACGAGCATTCATCTCCCTTGTGTATACAGTTTGTACTTCTCTGTCATTTGACATTCTCTCAATATGCCCAACCATTTCAGTCTATTAGCTCTCATGAAGCCAGTGATCAATGGTGATTTAAACAGATTATGAATTTCGTTATTGCTGCTCCCTCTCCATTCTCTGCTGTTTGCATCTTTGATGGATCCAGAGATTCATTGTAAGACTTTGTTTTTGAAAATTTGTAATAAGGTTTCATCTCATTTAGTAGTGCTCAAAGTTTCACAGCCATATAAAACGACTGGTCTTATTAATGTTATATAGATTTTAATCTTGGTGTTGCGAGAGAGAGAGAGAGAGACTCTGACTTTAGCAGATGTTAAAGGGCACAGTATACTTTATTTCCAGATTGTATTCTTGACAGTATTTCTTCTCTCAGCATGTTGGAGCAGTTGAAGTTTGCACCTAAGTATATCAACTTGTATGTGGCCTGAGTTTATATCCTTCCACTGTCTTGTTATTATCATAGAGCATCACCTTGCTGTAAACCAGGCGTTCTTTGAAAAGGGTCTGACTTTCTACCTCTATATGTTACTTTTTTTAAAGAGTATTTCATCAATAATTTGGTCATGGTGATTAACTTCTCTGGTATTTCAAAGTCTTTCATGGCATTCCATAAATTGTCTCTATGTATACTATCATATGGCTATTTAAAATCCACAAAAAACATTATGAACACCTTTTCTATATTCCCAGTTTTGCTCTGCTATTTGCCGTAAAATGAATATCTGATCTATCGTTGATCAGTTCTGGCTTAAAGATATTCATTGTTAATACTTCTTTCTCTACATATTTAACTTCTTCATGGTCATTTTTCTCTCCTCTTTTCAATAATTTTCTTAATTTTTGTTAAATGATGTGCTTCAGTAAGTGGTGATGGACTTCAATACACAGGGCATAATTCTCATATGTTTTTTCTTTTTCTGCAAAGCAATTGCTGGTCCGCCAAGAGCCACACAAAGCATGAAACTGTAGCTGTATATAACAATCCCTCTCCCTTTCCAACCACTCACACCCCAGGATCTCTGGAAAGAAATTCCACACTGATCCCCCAACCTTCACAGCATGAGGCAAATGGTTTACCACTTCATCAGAGTCCTCTTGCATATTTCAGTAAGTACAGCGAAATAAATCCACATCTGCAACATTCTTCTTCTTACATGTTTGAAAATCTGCTTGTAAACTGTCACTCCACCATCTTCTAGGTATGTCTCTGTTCTACTCCCATTCAATGTATTTGCAAATACAGATGTTGTTTCTGTTACCTGCCATTCTCTCTAAATACCTCAACCAGTGCAGTCTATTAAGTAAAAGAAAAGATCACTTTACACGCCCTTAGGCGCATCGGGCATATGGGAAGAGCACCCATATTTTTTACAGACCAATCGGCACTCAGTGGGTAATGTGGTCAGTATTACACCGGCCGTCTTTGCTTCCCCAGGACAGCCATCCTGGTACCCATTTTAGGCTGGGTCGATCTGCGACATCCCATACCACGATAAAAATCCATGCAGCCCACGTTGGATTACGAGTCAGACTTGCAACGCCTTAGCCACGGACGCCGAAGTGCAGTCTATTAGCCCTAATGAAATTGGTAATTAGTGGTGATTTAAACAGCATTGCACTGCATGTTTCAATAGCCAATGAAATGCACATCTGTAACAATACCTCCTTATTTGAACAATGTCACAGACAGTGACCTGAAGCTTCTATTCACTGAACACCCCATCCGCACCATCACCCTGAATGACTTCAGAACTCTCATGTTCATTGTCATCAGCCGCTAGAACAGCCAGGCTATTGTTGCTGTCACCTGGGTAGCCCGAATCCGCTTGGCTGCCAGAGTATGTGCTGCCCCGCTTGTTGCTGCAGGCCATGATGCTGTTGTTAATACCACTGTCTGACATAGTAGAGCTGTTACTGCTATTCGATTGTGAGGACAGTCGAGAATTTTCATCAGGTAGTTGAGCTTGTGACAACTTGGTTAAAAGAGAAATCCACCTGGCAGGAAGAATAAAATCTCTATTTAAATAAGTCATTATTTTCTTCTTTTTTTAAAGGTTAGTGAATGCATTTAACAATTTCAGGACCCCTGAGTGCTACGGTTCGATTTACAAGGTGGATGGTTTATTTAAAAAAAACAAGTCTCATGGTTTTTAGACAAAGTACGAGCATCGTACCGTAAGACAGTCTGTGGCCTCACCACGTAATGTTCTCAAGAACAACGGTGGGTGCACTCTAGCCAACCTATATTGTGGAGACGGCACATCATTTTTTGTTTAATTTACTCTGTCATTACCAAAATATTTTAAGAAAATGCCCCAAAAAAGATAATATCCAGAATGAATAAATGCAATTTATACTTCTAAAGGCACAACATATATACCGCTCAATTTTTCAAAATAAAGCCAGATTTCTTTAGTATGGTGAGACTAAATGAAAAAGAAGTAATAAACACATCATATTTTATGTGGCACACACTGGAAACATCTGATCATACATGGTAGGTTCTTCGGGACAGAAACAGTTTAATTCCACCCCCCTACCCCCCAAAAAAAAAAAAGCTTTCCTACGTTGTACAGCTGAAACCATACAGTATACAGTTCACAGAGCTGTGGTGGCATTATCTCTACTATGACTGTCAACCAAAAAACAGCTTATTTTAAAAAAAAAAAAACGTCTAAGACACAAAGGCACCTGATCCCAAATATTACCAAGAGATGGTCATAATTTGTTTAGCCACAGGGCTGTATGAGCCTTCTGTGAGTGAGTAAATGGTGCCGACGCACAAACAGGTAATCCTGGTCTGAAGAGAATGGTACAGCAAGAAGTGACCAGGAGATCTGGCCAACACATAACTTTCAGGAGAGGGGTGAAATGGACATACAATCGGACTGTTAGTCAATTGACAGATTATCTTCACTGCACATCGGACAAGTCCATAAGCACTCGGATCCCATCTTCAGTGTATCCCTTAGAGTGTGGCGACTGACAACACCAGAATCTGTGTTGGATTTCTACTCTTCTTTGGCTACCTGCACAGTTTTCATGTTTGGCAACACCTCTTTTGACCTTAAATTCTTGTAGTCTTGTTAGTGTTGAATCATCTTCTCATCCAGCCTTCTGACAGCACAGACAGTGTCAGCCCAGTCCATTGCTTTTCCTGTACCTACCAAGGCCCTGCCAGCAAGCCAATCTGCTTGTTCATTCCCTCTCACCCCACAGTTAACAATCAGACTGTTAATGGTACCATCAGCTTTTAGCCACATTATTATGGCCAGTCTAGTGGCTAGAATGCTGGGCTCTTATCTGAGAAACCTGACTTTCAATCCTCGGTAAGGTGGTGGAAAAAATGTGTTGGGAGTAACAAAAAAAAAAAAACAAGCGCATTGTACATGGTGATTGCACAGCTATATGACTCTAATCTCTCTCCCCCCCCCCCCCCCCCCCCATTTTCCATCATACATCAATCAGCATGTCCTTTACAGAACATCTCTCTTTCCATGGCATGCCTGGCAGCCACTTACTCTGGCATCAACACAGGAAGGAAAATTTTGTTTTTTTTTCTTATCGGGAAAGAAAATCTGGAGCATGAGACAACTGCAACAATTTATGTAAACAAAAGATGAAGGAAGAGAAGATTTCTGATGGCAAGATGTAAAGAAGTATGAAAGCCAAGCCAAACAGCAAGGCACTTGATGGTGGAATTTTGCTGTGGAGGTTAATGATGACTCACGCTTGGTGGCAAGGCACTTGATGATAATAATTAAGATGAAATGGCAAACATGACTGACCTCCTGAGCTGCTTCTCATTGTCTGTTTGAAACATCCACACAATTTTCTTCTTATGGCTCAGACAGAAAACATGTTGCCTCCCTGGGATGTCTGACAGCTGACCCACTTCATGACCAGGCAAAGGGACACAGTTCACAGCACTAACATCCTGGGAAAGACAAATGAGGCACGTTTTTTTAGTAAGTCCCGGTTTAAATTTAAAAAAAAAAAAATAAAAAAAAAAAATAAAAATGATTCAGGTTCAAACCCCTGGGATGCCAGCCACTTCTTTAGGTGCATGAAAAAGTGGTAACTACTTGGTGCCAAATTGGGACTGTAGGGCGATTGGTCTACAATTTCCCAGTGAAATGTTTGCAACAATTGAACAGCTCCATCTGCGACGTTAAGTCGAGAGTTATCATGCAAAAGAACAATTCCAGAGGACAGCAACTCACATCTTTTGTTTTGGATGGCACAAAATGTTTTGTATCTGAGGTTTCTTGTAACAATGTCGTAAATCACTAAACATGAAACTTCCAAAAATTTGACCGACAACGCAGACATTGTGAAGCAATGATTTTCTGTAATTATTTGGTTCACTTATTTTATAAAATCGTCTGTCACCATACTCGGCCGACAGCTATGATCTTCATTATATTTGTTTTCTCTTCTTTAAACATTCGACACCATTTCCTAACCATACTATTAGTCATAACATCTGGTCCATAAACCTCAACGAGCTGCCTGTGAATATCTGCAGCACTGATGTTTTTTACTTAAAAAAATGGATCACAGTAGGAAGTATTTATGCTGTAATAGTATTTATTTTTGCACTTGTTACTTATCACTCACACAGCATCAAACAACATTTCGATGGTGCAAAAAAACAACAACACACAGCTAGCTAATGAACCACATAAACATACTAAATATGCACATTTACGTTCTCCATCAGTGTTTGTCCCTGTGGTCAAAGCAGGACTTAACTGAAAAACCTCATTTGGTATACACTGCCATCTCAACTTCAGCATCCTAATGCTGCTCTCTGACAGGCACGTCATAAACGAAAACTAATTACAGATTTGCTGAAATTGAATGTGCTGAGCTAAAAAATGCAGAAATCACAGCCTAGCTGTAAACTACAACACAACAAGCCTAATGCCCTTCCAAGGGTGAATACAGAAAAAGAAGACCTTCAGTAAAGTAAGCCTTTCCCAATTAAAAATGAGATTTAGTTATGTGAGGCAAAGTCAAAGACTATCTATACTTTTGACATAACTACTTACATTGTCCACGCTGACCTCTGTCCTTGCTAATTTTATTGTTATACCTTTGTGGTAATGCTATGAAAGTTTGATCCTAATTCTGCCATTTTTCTTCCTTTTTTTTTTGTCTTTGTAGATAGATGATGACCATTAGAAGTTTGCACCAAAGAGAAACAACGAGCAGTGATTCAATTCCTCTGGTGAGATGGTGTTAAAGGTTGAGAAATTCATCATAGACTATCGTTGCAATATGGGGGAAGTTCACTATCATGTAAAACTGTCATTTTGTGGATCGAGAAGTTAAAAAGTGGTCAAACAAGTGCAACACCTGAAGAGTGAGCAGGACAGCCATCAACCTCCACTACGAATGACAACATTCAGCAAGTTTGAGAGATGGTTCTGGTGAATAGGCGAATTACAATCAATGAGGTAGCATCTGCGTTAAACATTAGTCATGGTTCTGCCCATCAAATCATCTATGACGAGCTCGGCTTCCATAGTCTGTGCACGTGGAGGGTTGGGGGGGGGGGGGGGGGGGGGGGGGGGTGTGTCAAAAAAGCTTACTTCTTTAGACTTAGATGTACAAAATGGGGTGCAAAAGTGGCTTCACAGCCATTTGAAATACCTTTTATTTGGAAGGAATACGTAAGCTTGTTGACCGTTGGGCAAAGTGCATTGATAAGGAGGGAGATTATGTAGACAAATAATGTGCACAGTAAAACCCAAACTTCATGTAAATAAACTGTAGAATGAAAAGTGTGGATAATTTTTGACTCTTCCTTGTATAATTATAAAACATACTATCAAGGATTCATCCCCCCCCCCCCCCCCTGTATTTTTTCCAACCCCCACTTAATGACTGTGATATATATATCTCTCTCAATCCAGTCTAAATCAGGTATGAGAAAACATCTACAGAAACAAAAGTGGCTGGTGAGATGTTAACATCACCCTTTGTGTGCAGACTGGTCCAAAAATAAGAGGTGATGCTGGAGAGTTTTTTCATCATGGCTTGGAGAAATTTCTGCATCAGAAAATATTGCCAGTGAACAAGACAGAAGGCTGTGGACCAGGTATGATGACTAAAGAGACATAGCATGGACTATAGGAAGAAATTTACAGTACACAAATGACTGCTGCTTCATCTGCTTCATTCTGGTTTCTTCCATCTTTAAAACAGTTCCCATTTCAGCTTTGTTATATGCCTTTAAGACCATGCTGTTTGTTGTCCTGAAAAATATAGTTCCATTATCATTTTTAGGGATGCCCCCTTGAATTTTTAAATGATTAATCTGAGCAATTCTGCTTCTGTAAAGCACTCAGCTAACAATCATGCAAGGTTCAATTATAATTTTTTTTTCTTTCTTTTTGTTTTCAAATAAAGTTTAAAATTGACTAAAATGTTATAATCATCTTCCATTCCTGCTTTCAAACATCATATGTAGGAATAGTTCATGGTCCAGCACACAATGGCTGGCACTGATAGTTAACTTGTTGTATGAGTGTACAATGTCAGTTCATCTTCTATTTTAGCTAATTCTTGTTCTTATGTCAGATCTTCTTAGGTGTATTTTCCATGTTATGTCTGGGAAGGGCTGCAGGAGTGACAAAAAGAGATAAAGTCAGAAATGAGATCATAAGAGAAAAGGTCGGCACAGAACCAATTCTAAATTAGATACAACAACAGCAAATCAAATGGTTTCCCACTTAGAGAGAAGGCCTTATGATGCCTTACCATACAAGGCATACACCAAAAGAGGAGAAGGATGCTGAGCACAAGGTAGACCAAGAAAAAGATGATAGATAACATTAAAGAAACTCTACAAAAGCACTATGCTTATGGTCAAGGCAGTTAGAAGAGCAAGAAGCAGAACATTACATCTAACTCGACACCCGAAGTGGTTAAAAAGGAAGTGAAGAAGAAGTGCCTATGTTGGTGACTGGTGTTGCTGCATTTCAACCAGACGATCAAACCATTTGATTTTCTTTTTCTCAATGTATTTAGCACAAGGTGCTGTCACAATCTGTCTAATATTATTAGTTCTCAATAAGGAATTTTAAGTGAGAATTATGAAGGAAATAAAAGGGGGGAAAAAATTATTCTATCATGAAAAAAGGATGGTCTTATCAGTGGCCATATCAGAAACACACTGAACAAGCTGATCAATAACAGCTAGAGTTAAAAAGAAAGTGTTTTTTTTTTCTTCTGATCACTAATTATAAATCCTGGTGGAAAGTTCTGTTCTTTTATTCATTTCTGCACTTAGGTCTTGTAACAAGACTTGAGTTTTGCCTGTACCTCTGTTTTTACAGATCTGGTATATTTGTGTGAGGACTGTTAGTTCCTCCCCTCTCAGGCAGAGGCACTCCATCATTGAAGAAAAACAATCGCATCTATACTGGCCAGGCCCATGGGTTGGGAACCTGTTACTAGGGTGACCAGGAAGACCTGTAGACAGGTCTTGACCAGTATGAACCTAGGTCCTGGTGCAGCACTACGTGTGGTTCAAAAGTCCACATGGGACTTATTTTAATTAAGATCAACATTTTGAATCAAAAAACACACAAAAAGTATTGCCAAGTTTGCAGAACAGATGGCTATATTACCAATGAAAAAAACACTGACCCAATATTTCTATTATTTCAGGTTGAAATTTTCAAAAGCTTACCTCGTGAGCTCTGAAAGTGTACAGAACAAAATCATTGTGAGCTGTGAGCCAGAACCTTTGCCAGCTGTGGCCACCATCATCACTGCAGCTCATGTAGCCAGACAGTAGACCCTTGCTGGCATTCACCTAAAACAGTACAGACAATATCCATTGTTGCAGGGTCAAGATGGTTAGATAGGAAGCCCTGAGCATAAGAAATGTAATATGAATAAAAACATTTCAAGCCATTTACTTCTTCTTTATTTGCCCTTAAAAGTGCAGTTGGTATGTTGTTTGTGGTTTACAACTAGGCTGTAATATCTGTGCCTTTCAGACTAACATTTCCAATTTCAGCAAACCCTTAAGTAGGTGCCTTTTATGACATGCTTGTTAAATTACAGTGGATATCCCCCTCCCTCCCCCACTACTTTTTTCTTCCTTTCTCCTTAACTCATGGAGACAAAATCACAGGATAAGTTCAGATGTATGACAAACATGTGTGTTTCTCCTTTATTCTTTTACCTGTTAAAAAAAAAAAATTATCTACATGACAGCATCTAAACATCTAAATGTCAGACGTTATGGTCTTTTAAAAAAATGTATTTCAGCATCTACAGAGAATCACCTGTGTTTTCCAGGATCCTTAGTGTAATCCTAAGACCAATGCAAGGTGTAACCCCAATATCCAACTAATCAGTAACAAGCCTACAAGGCTTGCTCTGAGTTGCTCGAGGGGCCCAAACTTCTATGGGAGATAAGGAGCAGGAGACATAGAAGAAGAAAAAGAAAAAGAAGAAGAGGAGGAGAGAAGAAGAAGAAGAAGAAGAGAACGAACAAATGAACAAACTTTATTTTTTAAAGGGTTAAGAATTGGGCATGCAGGCCTATCTAAAATTCTGCCCTTCTAGTCTTTCTCCTTTCATTTCATTCATACCTCAAGCAATAGTAAACATTATCAACAGCATCAAAATATTAAATGCAATCATTGGAATGTGTACATTTCTAACTACAGATAACCAGAGTAATTGTAATAAACCTAGGGAAAATATGCACTATTTCTAAAATACTTGTATCTTTTATGGGGGCATGTAATCTGTGTTCAAACAACATTCAAACAGTTTTCAACTGTATGTAAAGGGACTTGTGATATTTTGGATTTTTGTGGAAGATGGTTCCACAGCTGAGCTGCAGAATAAGCTAAAACTTGTTTTGCATTGGTATAACATAGGCTTAGCAACATGCAATATTTAATATGTTTAGACATTTACTACTAGAATAAGGTGATAAAACTTTAAAAAAAAATATCTTAAGAGACTATGTAACAGCAGTATTAGCACATATATAAGACTGATATACCATAATTCCCTGCCAAAATTCCCCCATTCATCAATCATGATTATAAGACAGATGACTTTGATGCTCAAACTTACTTGAAGGATGCCCTTCTTCTTTGGAGTTTGTTTCCCATTGGATGTTTCTGAGCGTTTCCCGCTAGATGTTTCTGAGCTTGTTGCATTTCGTTTATTTACAATCACATCGTAGCATACTGTACAGACCCGTTCAATCTTTCCCTGATTGTACTCTAGTGGAGCCTTCTTGCAGCATGTCTTACAGATCAGCTGCAGGAATCAAGCATCAGAATTTATTCTGAACAGAACTACTTCATCAAATTTTAAAAAGTTCAAGTGTAGTTAACAGACATGTTTAAAAGTTTAAGCACAGATAAGAGAAATGCTCTAAGACAATTCGGCTATCCTCTGAATAATGGCCACAAATTATGGTGGCCAAAAACACACCCTGACAGGGCCTCAATCATAGGTAAATTGCGGACTTCCTTTGACGAACACATTGCGGGAAAACTAGGATTACTATCCGTTGATAATTTTGAGAAACACAACAATACACACGATAACAGCGACATGGCGGGGAGACCATGTGCTTCAACGCAGGTTAGCGATAGTGTTCTTCCAATTAAACTCACAGCATATCCTCCATGCCACTATTTTAAGATATAAAAATCTCTGTTATCGCTAAGTAAGTAGTTGATTTTGTCATTTTCCTTTTTTTTCGGTCCTCGTTATTTTCGACTTCAAGTTTTTTAATGTTAACAACACATGACCTAATGAGGCCCTATCAGGGTGTGTTCTTGGCTGTCATAACATGTGGCCATTATTCGGAGGATAGCCGACAATTCATTAAGTTCAATAAATTCAAATGCTTAAAGACAAATGGTTAAGTTAACTAGAACTTGTGGTATTCAATTTTAATTTGCCCCAAACAAAGGAAATCTGGGAGTTCCTGGGAAAGTCCAATATTCTAGGGATGTTATGGTTAGAAATGAACACTGAAGCTATAATTTGGTGGGAAAATAGCAAGAGAACATGTGGTCTGGCACAAAAATGAAATTGATCTTTGTTAAGTCCTGACCACATCAAAGACACAGACTAACCCTAACCCAAAAACACACCACTCCTACAACATTGGACCGCCCTGGGAACTTCCTGATTTCCTTTGTTTGGGGTGAACTCAAACAGAAGCACAAAAGGTTTCCAACAAAATATGTTAAGCCAATGAAATTCCATTAATAGAACTGCTCTAGCAAAGGATCTAAGCTCACTGAATTCTTTTAACATAACTGCTCTTGTTTCAGCTGGTTGAAGTGCTCTACTGTCTAAGCCATCATTTCTCTAATCAGTTGTGGTTTTCATCAGTTTGTGGTTTTCATCAGTTTGTTGCTTTAATCAGTTTCTTGGAAGTCTACCTCATTAATTATTCTGTCTGTTTATGGTATTTACATTTTCCTCAGATACAATATTTCCATCTTCTTTTTCTCTCCCTCCAGTTAAGTCACTTCATCCCTTCTTCTCTGTGATCAGTTTTGTATGCTCAGGTCAGACCATCAGGTGGGTTACCTCTATAAACTCGCATGTCAGCTGCAGGTCCTGCATGCTTCCACATAGCTAGCTCTGCACACTTTGCTCTTCATTTAAATTTTTTGGTTAGGGGTGAAAGATCTTCTGTGTGTTCTGTCCAATGCATTGCACAAGCAGGTTTTCATTTCCTTAATGCCGCTCTTGATGCCATCATTCCATATTCTGAATGGTCTTTCCCTTGCCCTGTGTCCATTATATTTTTTCAGCTTGGCTCTCTGTCAGTTCAAGTCTTATCAGTTCAAACGTAATGTAAAATGTACAAATGTAATGTAAATTTCTAAATGCAGTTTGAGTTGAGGACTTCCTGGTGATTAAATTACAAACTTGATAAACCATTTGTTCACAATCTAAAGCTAAAATTACAATAACTGAACGAGCATCAACAGTATCATGCAGTACTAAAGAATATAAGGCCAGTTGAAAATGATTAGTGATGCCTATCATCATAGCACTCTAGCCGGATCCACAGGTGTTCCAATCTCCTCTTCAAAAATTCCAAAAGAGTAAAACAAATGATCATGCCTGTTCTGTGTTGATTAATTAGACAGCTTGTGCCAGTAGTGAAATGTCCATAACTGGCTGCTTCAGGCTGTACTCCCATATCCACCCACCCGGACAAGGATACTAAGTCCTGCTTGTTGTCACAGATCATGTTTGTGATATGTATCTCACATTAATGACATTACTTCTGTCCAGTGCTGGGTCACTGGTCATAGAAACCACACTGTCCGCTAGATAATCTGCATGCTCACTACCTCGAATATTTTTATGGCCTGGCACAAAAACAATGGTTGGTTACAAGTGAATAATTGCTTACCTTGCCACAAGCTCGGCAGTGGTGCCTCCTGCGTACCATGTTGAAGGATACCATACACACCATACACATGGTGGCTGCATCATCTTGGATCCACACTGGGGCAGCCTTCCCCAGGCACTTTTCAATAACCTGTTTTATTATCATTGGAACACAAGAGAGTATTGCAATAAGTTTTTCAGAACAATGTTATAATCTGTTTTTATGTTTAACAACACCTTCCCCAACATAACACAATTAATACTTTCTAATGCATTGCATTTCACACGTGTTATATCTACTAGCAGAGAGTCTCACGTCTTCTCACAGAACAGTTATTTGTTACTGCCTGCTGTCTCCTGTTGACATAAGGCATTTCCAAGATGCAACTGTCTAATATCATTTCAGATAGATAAACAAAGTAAGTGTGTCTATTTGTGCACATCTGCATTTATAAAGTCCTATTTTGACATGCATTAAGCTGTCTTTATTACCTAGAGCAAATTTCCCAGTCCTTCTTCTGTCACCCAGTGTTAAACACTTCTATGATATGCCTAGGATTTGCAGGTGGACCCAGCCTAAAACAATACCAGGTAATGTTCGAGGAAGTAAAAGTGTCCAACATGATGTTGACTATATCACAGATCGAGTGCCTCTAGGTCTAGACAAATATAAGTCTAGCACATATGCCTGATTTGACAGTGGTATCAAAAATAGTATATACCTTTTTTTAATTTTTTTCCCCGTGTTTTTACTTCAACTGAGAGAAAGAAGATTCAATGGTCTGATCATCATATCAGAATGCGGACACAACAACTACCAACACAGGGGCTACCCTAGGTGAAGATGGACCGATGTCAACAAAAACCTTCTAGATTGATACAGAATGACAATATCCGCTACCCATCATGCAATGGATTACAAACTGTTTCTCTCCCAAGCCACTGAAATATCAAAAGTGGAAACTGTTGGTGACTGCTGAGTGATGTGTTTCTGAAGCTAGCAGGTCATCTTTCCCATTTCTACCTATCAACCTATCAAGCAATGGATTACAAAGTGTTTCTCCCCCAAGCCAGTTAAATGGCAAAAGTGGAAACTGTTGGTGACTGCTGAGCAACGTGTTTCTGAAGCTAACAGGTCATCTTTCCCATTTCTACCTCAATGCTGCATGATCTGGAAAGTAGATCCACCCCAGTTCAAAAGGTCTGAAGTATCCATATGGCAGCATCAACCAATCAATTCTTCATGTGCTTCTTCTACAATGAATGTTGGTTCCAACAGATATTGAACACTCTCTGCCCCTTGCCCTGACTGTACACTGTCAGCCTGCTTTTTGTCTGATTTGCTGACAGACTCTTTTTCAGCTGCCCTTAGTGTTTCTCTCCTCAATGGTTTTACAAGAGCTATGTTTGTAAAAGTGGTAGCAATATTTCACTAGCCTCTTTCTTCTTTTATATATATATATTTCATACAACTCTCTGCTCTTCTGCAATCCTTCCAGAAACCCATGTCACTGATAAATTATATTTCCATTATTTGAAATCTGCTCATCTGTGCATCCACATCTCTAGGTTACACAGAACAAGTCATAGCCATATTTCATAAGCCAGTAGAGGCCCCTTGGAATGGCTGCTGTATGGGAAGACTAAGCACACAATGAAATGTTTTGTGTGCAGTGGAGTTGATTGTTATAACATATATCATAACAATGACGATGGAAGCACAGCTTAGATCACATTTTTGTTCTGTCACTACTATAAAGTGCAGAGTTTGTTAAACTAAAATACTGGCAATGGACTTTTGCTGTACACAGCGTATAAAAACCTCATAACAATACACAAAACCTGAAAATTGCAACATCACAGTCAAGAGAGAGAGATAGAGATGACATTAATAGTCGTGGTTGAAGTTTTCTTCATAACTTAGTTTACTTACATTCTGATATGGTGAGAGTTCCTTTGGTTCCTCAGGTTTGATAGATCCCTTTCTCTTCTTCTTGTAGTTGGATATCACAATTTGTATTTTCTAATAAAGTAGTAATGAACAAATGTCAATCATTCAATTTACCTTCAGAGTGACACTGTGATTGTCAATAACTATTTGATGCTAATATATAGTCAATAACTATTGACAATGATGCCACTGTGAAAATAAACTCAATTATATATAGTTCACAATTTTTTTTTAGGTGCTAGTACTCACTATAAAGTGTCTTTAAAAAAAAAAAAGTGCCAACCATCACCATAAAGTGTCTAAAAGGGAGCCAGTCCCCATCACAAAGTGTCTTTGTTAGCAGTGCCTTGTATGCCTAAAAAATGGTGCCGATATTGCAGACTGTTGCATATCTCTCTCTCAGGCGCACGCACGTGCATGCACACACGCGTGCATGTGCACATGCATACACGCGCATGCGCACATGCACACACACCACACAAAACCCACCATGAATACCATATATACCAGAGCTATTCAACTAAGGAGCCAAAATTGTGAAAATGGGGACCATCATGGGCCAGAGGTTCGAGCCCCCATGCTGAAAGATCATCAACACAATACAACTGGCAATGATCCGCGGGTGACCAGATTAAAAGCCCTGGAATATACCATTGTAGTTGACAACTTTACACACTCAATAATTTACAGACTTCCCAAAAACGCACCATTTTTTAAAGCTGATAATTATACACATTCTTTGTATGAGTGCTATATACACATTATTATTTGGTGTTGATTACCTTACAAAACACCCTTCTTTTTAGGCCTTCATTACACACACACACACACACACACACACACAAAGAGAGAGGGAGACAGAGAGAGAGACAGAGAGAGAGACAGAGACATAGTTTTAGTTACCTCTTGCCACCCAAACACTTCACCAGATGGACTTCTGCAAAAGCAAAAACCACAAGGGATATAACAATACTGTCAACTCTAGCTGGCATCACAGATGAGTTAGGTTCATTCTAATTGTTACAGTTAATACAAGCAGTTTTATTGTGGGATTTTTTTTTCTGTACAAATGAATGCAATTTAAATTATTAATTAATGTTTATATCAACATCATGAGTCTCAGTATAAAGTCTTTCTTCTATATTCTTCATTTTTATGAAGTCCTATGGTAGAAGTCTTGCTTATAACAAGTTCAATTTGCATAAATTCTTCATTGTTTAATGTAAAAATAAAATAAGGGTATCACGTTTGTATAGTATAAATGCAAAGTATCAAACTCAGGCAAACTGTGATAAGCAGAGAAAGCCATGAGAACATAAAAAATTAACCTGTACCATATTTGAAGACACTGTCCTTACACCAAGTTTATAAGTTGTAAAAGTATTGATTCTTTAAATTGCAAGCTATGCTGATAAGCATTTCCAGGTGAAATTCCAGAAATAACTTGATATGTGATAAGCTCTACCTACACAATACATAAATGACCATTACGTGTGAGATCTACTATCACATGTGATGGGTTCTCAATTGTGCATCCCCTACATCATATGGGCTTGTGAATTTCACAAACCACATGATGCATGATGAGTCCTTTCTTGTGAATCCCACACAGGACTTGATGTGTAATAAGTTTCTCATAAATCCCAAATATCAATGATATGCTCTGCCCTTCCTATGAATTCTCCACATTACGTGTATAATTGGTTTATTTTGTCGGTCCCCAACATCATATGTGGGATGGGATCTCCTTTGTAGATCACATCACATGTGATGGGCTGATGTGGTCAACATCACACCTGTTTAATAATACACAATATACAAGAAATAAGCAAATATCAAAACAGCTACTCACTCATCTAGCAGTTCTACCACCTTCTGTTTGCTGTGTACCAGGAAGGTATTTGGAATGTGCATACTGGTGCCTGGCTTAATCTTAGACAGAACAATGTATGCAATTAACATTAGAAAAAAAGAAGAAAAAAAAGAAGAGAGATTTAAAACAGGTGGTGAACAGAGAACTTTTTTCTTTCTGACAAGGGATATTTGGATAGTTATAACATCACTCCATCATCTCATTCATCCTCATCATTGTCCTGTTGTGCTATAGGAGGTCACATAGGGCTCGCTGTCTATTCCTCCATTCTGTTCTAACCTCTGCAATCAATTCAATATTGTTGATACCTTTGGCCTCTCTTATCAACATTCATTATAGTTTTCTTGTGGGTGTTGTCACCTCCTTATTTCCTCTAAGTCCATTTTAGTGCCAATTTGATGATTCTCTGCTTGTTTATTCCCAGGATGACTCCAGAATAGCACCATCTTCTCTGTCACAAAACTGTTCATTCCAGTGGCTGCCCAGGCACATCTCTTATTTCTACTCCCCTCTTAAATTCATAACATATTCCATGGCCAGATAATACAAAATTTACAAATTAACTGCTAAATTTTGTCAAAAAATAAACTGCAATAGCAGGGAAAGGACCAGATCACAAGATACTGCAGGCCTTGTGTGGCTCATGAGCCTTGGATAAAAAGTAAAAATAAAAATAACTTCATAAAATAAAAATAGGTAAATAGATTTACTAGCAAACATATGAGACTAAAATGTAACCCACATTCTTTGTTGGAGAAATGTTAAAGTGCAAGAATACTCATTTCTCTCACAAAGCACTGAATATAATCGTGCTTTTATCATCCTGTATGTGTGTGTGTATAAATATATATATATATATATATATATTAATGTATTTATAAAAATATATATATATTTATGTATTCATATATATATATATAAAGGTAGAATGAAACAAAGCAAATGACTGACAGATAAGCAGATAGAGACAGACAAGTCAGAGTAAAAGAGAATGGAGAAATATAGAGAAATGACAACAGTGTGCAAGCACTCACACACACACACATAAAACTGTTCTTGCCCTTACAGTGCTTAAGAGCAAAAGTGAAAACTGACAATAATGATGATACATGTTATTGCCCTACTGTCATTCCCCTGTACAAGATTTGAAGAAGTGAAACTAACCTCCATGCCATCCAGCTCCAGCTGAGAACGAACACTGTAAGTGCCAAGCAAGTTGTACTGGATGCACACCAGAACCAGATCATTAAACTGAAATCGTGCAATACTGACAATCAATGCAATGCTACCATATTGCGAATTTGAACAAGGACATTTTAAATAAATTGTGAAATTTACTGCCTGACAAGGCGTCCGTGGCTTAGGCGTTGTGAGTCTGACTCATAATTCCAACATACCGCGATTGAATCCCACTGCTAGCTACATGGTTTTTATCATCATTTAGGGCATCGCAGGTTGACCCAGCCTAAAATGGATCGATGTCCTGGGGAAGTAAAGACGGCCGGCCTAATGCTGACGACATTACCCACCCAGTGCCAATTGGTCTGTAAAAATATGGGTGCTCTTCCCATATGCCCCAATTGCCTAAAAGGCGTGAAAATGAATCTTTACTTCCTGCCTGATATAGTTCACTGTATTTGTCAGATGCTTACTTTAATAACAACTGACTGAAATAAATCTTTATAACTGAAACAAAATTAACTAAAGAACTATGGAAATGGTATACTGTTGTGGCTTATACACAGTGATGAATTCTGCAATTAGTTTAAATGTGTCGACAAATCAAAGAATGCTTTGCTATGTGGAATCCATGACAATAAACCAGTTCCATCTAGATTTGTGCAGACAAAAAGATAGGGTTGTGAACTCAAGACCCATGGATCCGCAGGTAAGTGTCTAGCCGCTACTAATGATAAGATGTACAGCTGTACATGACACAAAGAATGGTATACATGAAGGATAGCCATTCACACACTTGTGTTGCTTGGAAAGGGGGGAGGGGAGGGAAGTTTTCAACTAAAATGCTCTAAAATAATGTAAACACATTTTCATCACATTTAAAAGTTAGAGCACTAACAAAAACTATAGTGGAAAGACATATTCAGGGCAGGTGATATACAACAATAAGAAAGAGACACTGTTCTTTGGCCACATAATGAGAAGAGAGACATTGGAGAAGATCGTAACAACTGGAAAGATCAGCGAAAAAAGGGGTAGAGGCAGACCAAGAGAGATGATGCTGGGTGGCCTGAAACGATGGCATGAAAGGATATCATCAAGAGAGCTGTTCCAAGCATGAGCGCCTACGGCAGTTGGCAGGGCACATGATGATGATGATAAAGTGGAAACCTACTGATGTGAAAATTACCAACTAAATAAGTTCCCAAAAATCATGAATGTACTGATTCCAAAAACAGTCTTTATAAAGAAGGTTGGCTTCAATTCATTCATTCGTTATTATGTTGTGCTATTAAATGTCACAATGGGCTCGCAGTCTATTCTTCCACTCCGTTCTATCAACAGATCTCCAATACTCTTGTCTCTTCCATTACTTGTGCACTTTTTCAGATATTCATCCATCTCTTGATGTTATTTTCCCACTGATATTCCTGTCTAACCTTTGCTCAGCAACATTTAATTTTCGCTTCCAGTATAGACTTTAATTAAAGAGTGTTTACTTTTTGTGATATGACCAAAACACTTCACTTTTGTTTAACAAAGTTTCAATTCAACAACTTTTTATTTGCATTCTTGGTTATCTTCAAAATCTATGTCTTTGATGTTTTTAATTCCATGAAATATGACCTATTGTACTGTATGAGCACATTTTCATGGCCTCAGTCAGACTTTCTAATTACCTGTTCAGCGTCCAGATTTCTGCACCATATATTAGGGCTGAACAACATACAAAGCAAGCACACAAAACATAACAGTATCTCTACAAATATGAAATACAACTGAATAATTCACCAGAAAGAGATGTCTAAGCTGTTTCTCTCCACTTCGAGCTGCAATTTTGGTGACTGGTCCTTGAGTGACAAACTCCCTAGCTGGAGAGATAAAGTCTACAGGAACACCCCGCAGACTCTGGTATATGTCCAACAACTTTTGGAATGTTTCCTGTGAAATAAGTTCATGTCATCAAAGGCCTGCATTATGTAACACTGGGGAACAAAGGGAATCTTACTGAAAATAATTCTTTATTTTCTTTAGCTTTTTTCTCTTCTAATCTAGTGTACATATATCTTCTTCTGTTTCCTTTTCTTCTATTACAGAATTTGTGTCTGTTACTAAATCTTGCCTGGTTAATGCAAACTGCTTAGTAAATAAAGTGGTGAGATATGATTCAACAGCAAAGACTACATTTCAAGGAAAAGGGATTAGTCAAAGAAGAATGTGGAATGACAACACCAAGAAAGAAATGGACAGGACTAAAGTATTATACACTTGTTCAACAAGCAGAAGACAGAGAAAGATGGCGGGTTATGTGTGATAGTGCTTCCACTGATACACCCTATGACTCTAATAGGGCAACGGTTATATTATGTTCTGCTATTAAGTCGTAAGGAAAAGCTGAGACAGCAGCTGTTACAGGAGCACCTGCATGACATTGGTGGAACTCATACAGTGATAATGGCAGACTCAATGAGCATGCTTATGAAGATACAAATTGGCAAACTGTCACTGGAATGGGCTGACAGCTTCCAGAAGTCCTGACTCATGAAACTATCTTGGCTGAAACACAGCAGGGTGAAAGACAAATGAAACAGCTGAGAGACTGGCCATGTCTACAGCGATTAGTGGAGGAAGAAGTATTGACAGGGCAGACACAGACATAGTGAATGTTTTGCATTCCAGAGATGCTGACACAAAGATGTTAGAGATGAAGAACTGACTGTTGGAAATGGGTTTTGTACGAGGACAAGCATGCAGAAACTGGTTCAGGGGCAAATAAAGAAGATATGCCAGTCAATTCCTACCGAGTGTGTTAAGCTTTCAGACACTGATATGGCTACGGCATTGGAGGACAGAGCATGAATGGGTCAGATCGATGTTGATATGGACATCCAAGTAACAAGAAATATACTACAGAATAAGAAATTTATATACTTGGAATATTAAAAAAATTTTAAGAATAATTCAAATAACTTGCAACTGATTTCAGCTCCTAAAACCTTCAGCACCAGAATGCTACACAAATGGGTCATAAAACAGTAAGGCATTTTTTCGAGAAAAAAAATATTTAGAAAAACAACAATTTTATACAAGTAATTAAAAATCTGTTTTAAAATGTATTTGTCTACATTTTTAAAACTGTTGTTTTAAGATACATAAAGATATATAAACAGAGTAATCAATGTACAAGAACAGAGTAAAGCATTAAATGGAATTCATTTCATGGGGGCCAAAACAAATATGCATCGGGTGGGTCATGCTGTGACCCCCATGACCTCCATCACTGAGGTTTACAGAAACATTCAACTTGGCTAAAAACAAAACTATCTGAATCAAAAAGAAACCCTTTCAAATGCCATTTTTAGTTAATATATATTTACATCCAGGCCTTCTAATCACTATGCAGATGCAAACAGAACCAATAGCATTTAAGTAATCTCTTCGAAAAACCAGCTCACAGCAATGAATTTTTTAAAGACAATGCAAACAAAATTTTTTAAAGACAATGCAAACAAACTAGCAATACTAAATATTGTAATACATCATTTCATATAACTAGCCCCACATTTAAGCATTATATCAAAAACAATGTTATACATAGAAAACTGCCATTCATCTTCTTCTTTTTCTTTGTTTGCCCTTATAGAGGCAGTTGGCACACTGTAATGCATTTTGCAGGTAGGCTGTAATATCTTAACCTTTCAGTCCAAAACATCAGATTTCAACAAACACGTAATTAGGTATTTCATATACGATAGGAAGCAATGGATCTAACCACCCCCCCCACCCCCCCCCCCCCCCCCCCCCCCCAGCATTTTTCTTAAAAAATGGGGTCCCTGAATCCACATGGGGAAAAGCTATTATTGATTAGCGACTTACGATTTTGTTCATTGCTTCGTTGGAGTGACAGGCAGCTTTAGTCACCAGATCCAGGGCATCTAGAAACAAACCAATGTATTATAATATTTAACTTATTCATTCCCAAGCAACTCACCATGAGTTTGTTAGTTTGCACTGATATTATTCAGTATTCTAAAATTCTTCTGCCAGTTCCCAGTTATTACTTCAACTCCTTATCTCCTATACTGTTATTATTTTAACTTGTAACTTCTCGTCCCATTGTGGGATACAATTTTTAATTATTTTATGCTACCCCACCCCGGTTGTAGTCAGGGCCCTAATATAACCTAACAGTTGAACAGGATTTCTGGGACTTGTTCCCGGGTGATCCTCATCAAAATGGTGGCACTTCTTAATCACCACGTGTTGGTCACTCATTGTATGGTCTCAGTGGGATTGGTTTACATACATATTTTAACTCATTCTGACACTTAGTTTCAGTAAACAATTTCTGGTACAGAATGAGTGAAACCAGTGTTTCCCACAAATTTAAAGGGCCTTTGATATCAGTTACATTTTAAAAATTCCTAATCTTTAAAAGGCAACCCTATTTGTGTGTGGTGTGGTGTGGTGCAGGATGGGGCAAGGTGGGGTGTGTGTGTGTGTGTGTGCGTGCACCCCCCCCCCCCCCCCCCCCCCCGCATGCGTGTGTATGTGTGATTTAATTATTTACAAATTATAAAACTTTCTTCAGTATAACTGAAGTGGATTCAAACCCAAGAATTTCAGACCAACAGGCAGGTATCTAGCCACTGCCCTAACGCCTCTTCCATAAAATATTAGAAGATTACAATAAAAAAATTTACTGATTGAAATCAACGAAGAGAATGACAATACGCAGAAGAAAAACAATAAATAAAACTGAACTACACTATTATGACAAGTTTTAAAAAGTAACAACAAGTAAAATGATGATGCATTTTGAAAGGGGAACTGGCAAAAAGATAAACGTGGTAATCGGTTTTTGGAACACACCTTTGGCATCATTCATGTCAGGGGAATCCTCAGGTAAATGTCTCACATAGTCTGCAACAAAAGACACAACAAGTCATTTGAAATACACTCACATAAACAATGTGTATACAGTCCTTACTGTCTGTATTAAACACTTCTTAGGACAAGGAGTGTCTGGCCAAATGTTTAAGAATGCAGGCTCTCATGTGGGAAACACATGTTCGAATCCTTGATAAAGTTGTGGAATTTTTCTGTTGGCGGCAAATGAACTCTTAACCTGGACAGATTGTGGTGACTGCATTAAGCATGCGGCCCTATACCCTCAGGCTGAAAGATTCCCCCCCCCCACCCCACCTGTAAAAGTCATAAATACAGGCAGCAGTTGCAAATTTTTTTTTGGGTGGGGGGAGGTGGGGGAGGGGGGAGGCACAGTAGGAAAGGAGAGTCTTAAGTGTGAGGATTTAGAGCCGCATGGCCATTGCAACTGCCATCAACTATGTGTACCAGGGTGTTGTTTTTCTCTTCTGCCTCCAACAGAGTAAAACCAGCCATCACCTTACTGAAGATTTGACTCGTATCTCCTGCTTGAGACGCCAGCATTCCAGCCTCTTAACCAGCCAATCTACTTACAGGTATACATACCAGCTTAAGAAATAAAAGACTACATTTACCAGGGGATCTGGTCGACGCTCAAGGGAAAGGTGAGTCGGATTGTACAATCAAACAGTTACTGGTAATATCAGAACTGGAACTCTTTGCTTGCTTCTGAAGAGGGGGACGGAGCACTTATGGGAGTGTCCCGGGTGCTGGGAGGTAAATTCATAAATCAACATTCAACAAGACTGCACACAAGCTGTAATGCTAAATTTATATGAATATCAGGATTTGAATACAAGGTACTTTTCACTTCTACAATTACATGAGTTGCTTAAAGGGGTTACCATTAGCATCCAGACACTTACTATTACAGCGAACTACTTCTTAGGAAAATCATAAAGATGTGGCTTCAACTGCTAAATGATTCAAAACAGTTTTAACATCAATAAATACTGATAGGCACTGCCCTTTGAGCGAACCTATGAAAAATCCAGTTGTTAAGAAATTTTAGAAGTTATATATGGTGACCACAGGTTTTATCTGCCTCTACATACCTCTACATATAGAAGCTGAGCTTCAAGAAGTATTAGCTGTCCAAGGATTTTATACTTCAAAAATTTGTAAGGTTTTTATTTTTATTCTTTTCACATTATTTTTATAGTATTGCATACTAAATAAATGTGTAATACCCATTGATTCAAGGAGGCATATGCAAAAGAGAATCCAACAGAGTAAATTCCAGAAACCATGTTTAAACATATAACAGTTAAATGCTGCATCTGATGGTTATCAAGTACCATGTGGTCCAGATGGGTTGATAAAATGTTGTCAGAAGCAAGATTTGAACCTGTGCCCATATTTATGGACCAGAACACCATTCCCGTAAATCAGGGAAGGTAATACTCTTTTGAGTCTGGCACTTTAAACGACTCGGCCATCCTAACAGACTAACAATTATGGAACGCTTCATAAATTTGCATGGTTTTCCTTGCACAGCGGCCATGCTTATCTTCTTAACTGTAGTATGTGTACAATGTGAACCTGTCAGCGTCTGTGAATTAGGCATCGTAAATGTGCCTCATAATGACGGGGTCGATCCCAGCAGCAGACGATTTGTCTTGCATTGGTTTCGACGGCGGTAATAAGAGCTGACTGTTCAGAAGCAATGGCAAACTACTGGATGTAAAATTTGCCTAGAAAAACCACAACAGCCACAAAAATTATGGTTGGTTCTGCAACGTCCTGTTAAGGATAAGCAACAAACTTTTTAACTGTGTGAACAGTCCAACTGGTGTCACTGTTTAACTACTTTAAAAGTTATTTTAAAATAAAAATGGTTAAAGCATAACTTTATACCGAAACATCACCATTTAGTAAATGTTTTAATACATGACACATGTAGTCTATACCAAGTCTATAATGAGCATGGTATGAGCTTGTTGAGGGCCTATTTTCTGCTGTGAAATAAAAATGCAGAATCATACAATCCTAATCACCTCTGCAACCCATATACCATGACAAATGGGCTATACCCTGGTATCAATGAGATGACAAAAGAAGAAGAAGAACCCACATGCCTCAATAATTCTCTTTATGCCTAGTGGCACATGAGGCTTCAGATACAACTTTTCATGCTATTCTGTGCAATCTTCAGTTCAGTTTTCCATGTCAGAGATGCAGCATTCAGTTCACTTTCCCTTGTTCGTCTCCAAGTTGTTTTTGGGCACCTCTTTTTCTCTCTTTCCTTCTGGTGTCCAAGTGAGAGCTGTTTTGGCAGGTATATCAGGATGTATGCCTCAAGGGGCTATAGTTTGAAGCCCACAGACCCAGTCATTTATTATTTAGAGTAATCTCTGCTTGTGACTTAAATAATGAATCATTAATTTCACCTTTCAAGAGAAGTTCATAACGTGGAACCCTCTGAATAGGACCCAACATGTGATGCTGCAAGGACAAATTCCGACACTCTGGTAGTTTCTGGAAGAATATTTATAACAAGTTATCCAAATGTTTTATGAATATATAATTAAAAATAGCAGACACAATTTATTCTTTGACTAGTTTCTTATTTAACTTTTCAGGCCCAGAAGATTTAAAGGAAAAATCCCAATGGATGAAATAACCTTCTTATCCTTTTTGTCCATATGACACAACTGTGTTATGCGACTTTCGTCCGACACATCTGACTTCATATAGCAGTTTCTGACTAGGATAACTTGCCAGAGAGTTTCAAGGGGCATTGCAATAATCTTATTTGTGTCAAAATCACTTTGTCCCTTATTTACAGGAGTTACCCCTTGGATAACCCATTCACAGCAACCGTGTGTAGATTGGCCAGCCATCAAGGGAAGGCAGGGGCAGATCATGAGCATTCCCCACCATCCAAGGAGGCATCCATAACTGTAAAGCTGACCTATGATGCTTCGGCTCTGAGCTCAACCCAAGGAATCATCTTGTCCTACAAATGTCTACCTAACCTCACATCCATATGTTGAGCTTTCAACTCATCATGGGCTGCACCCTTCAGAGATCAGCAGCACAGGTTTGGGACTTTGATGACCATACAAAAAAAATACAGTTCTTTTTGGGCACGTTAGACACCCTTAACATTGTTTCCCCTAAACATATAGCAGGATAGTATGGAGACAGGATCCATCAGAAATGCCTTCCCTGTTTGTGGAGACAGCATCCATCAGACATGCCTTCCCTGTTTGGTCCTGACAAGGTCACAGATTTTTTAACTTTTCTCTCAACCAGTAGGACTTTTTACTGTTGGACATTGATCACTTTGCTGGTGCGCCATGGGACATGTATATGACGGATATTTGGGTCTAATCAGAATTCAGATATTGGCAGGTTGTCAGGGTGTGCCTCAACGTGGTGATAATGATGTTGAGGACTGGCAAAGGATGTATGGAGACAGGACTATCCTGTGAGAAACTACACACATGAGATGTTGCTTGTCTAAGCTTATGGCAAATCTCTTGGTCTAGGACTGAGTCTCAGCAGTTGTTTTTTTTCCCCCTTGACTCAAAAGAAGTTTTTACTGAGAGCTGTCATTAAGTAGTAATGGTCTGAGAGTCATACTATGGTCTGAATGCCAGGAAATGTCACGGGATGTAAAGGTGGCCAGAAGATGTTGACAACAACATTCAACAAGTAATGACTAGTATATAAAAATATAGGGCAACAACCACAGACCTGATATAAATGTAGAGGGTCCTTTACATATACATGAAAGGGCCCTTTCCCTTATGACTATATAGTGTATGAAGTGAACATATAACAAATAGAAAACACATACACACACAGTCACCTGAATGTCTTGAATAATTTCTGAGAACTTGGTTGACTTCTCCATCCACTGATTGATCAGTTTCATTGCCCTATCAAAATTGCGTACATATTCTGTGTACATCTTCAAGAAAGGTGCATTCTTCTTCATCAGATCCCCGATGCGAGGGTCGTGTTCCCTTTTAGAAGATACAATTAATGTAACATGTTATGACTAACAACAATCATGTAACAGTAGACTACTTTTATTAAAACTACACACATTCATTGACTGGTGCCGGCACAAATTAGAACAATTAAATGGTGTGACAGAATATCCAATGTGGAGCTTTGGGGAACTAGACACATTTAAGTCAATTAAGAGGTGAGGAGAAGATGCTGGCATAGACAGGACACACATTAAAAAAACCTGATAAAAATCTTACCTGAATATCTAGGCAATGAAGCCTAAATGGTTAAAGAAACAGAGAAAAACCAAAAAACTCATACAGAAGCAGCCTTCAACAATTATTCTAGGTTACTTAGTAGCACTCGATCCCCAATATAACCTTACAGCTGAATGGGATTTCTGAGACTTGTACATGGGTGTGATGTGGGGCGGCTTCAAGCTGATGCGTGTCGTACCAAACAATGAAATAGGCCAAGTGGGGTTAAAACATTAGGAACTTCAATGCTTTTCAACGGTAGAACAACGAACGCTCGTAGTTAGGTTCCAACTGGTGTATTGATATATACACTCAATCAACAGATGAGAAAATTTGCAATTAATAATCCAAACACACCAACACAAGAAACCGCTCGACGTCAGCTGACATATTACAAATGACGGGTTGCAGTCCGACCTTGGAAATCGGTAGTATAAGTATACCGGCTTACAGCCAACTCAGACATCAATTGACTGATCAATTCACACGACGGGTCGCAGTCCGACCTTGGAGATCCTGACAGTCGTCTCAATCTTCTCTTTCGCAGCTTGAACAAGGTAAGATAAGTATACTGGCTTACTGCCGAACGAAGTATGCACTATACCAGCTTTCTGCTGAGGTTTATAGTGGAGTCCTGGGGTAGAGCGCCCTCAAGGATCCAACTTCATACAAAGACTGCTTTCAGTGGCATCCCGGGGTATAATGTCCTCAAGGATCCACAGGTCCGTCCCCTTCAGACTGTAAACATCAAATCTTACATGGCATCCCGGGGTAAAGCATCCTCAAGGATCCAACTTGATTACCATTCCTTCCGTGGCATCCCGGGGTAAAGCATCCTCAAGGATCCAACTTGATTACCATTCCTTCCATGGCATCCCGGGGTAAAGCATCCTCAAGGATCCCCACCAAGGCCGGACCACACGTCGGCCTTAGTCAAACTTCGACTTGCATTTCCTAGAATACAATCCTTTCACAACCTGACGTATTGTTTTGACGTCCTATTTGCTCACTCAGTACTGGAGTGTTCTAGTGCACATCTGCACGCGACAATGGGGAAATTCTCATCCAAATAGTGACTCTTTGGGTCACCAGGTGATAATCACTGGGTATGTGGTCCTAGTGGGGTTCAACTTCACTCGCATACAGATTAGAATTGTAAGTAATATAGGAAGTGAGCTGTTGCAATAGCAAAGGATAGTAGGATCATTTGCATGAACGACCTATGCTCTGTTTGGGGATAAAGGTCAGAGGAAGAAGATACATTCATGCTGCTTGTGCTACTCAACATGAAAACACTAAGCACGGACTGAAGAATGTGACCTAGTGCTGCATGCAACGACCCTTGAGCATGTCTACAACTCTTACCCAAAACCTTAATGGACACACTCATACACTGATGGATCACTGGAGGGAGCAGAAAAAAAGAGAGGAACTGGATCTGTCATCAGGCTGCAAGATGAGACCATAGTAGAAACGTCATGCATCTCCAGAAGACTCTCAACAAACTTCAGAGCAGAACAGAAAGCAATTACTGATGCAACCAAAGTGTTTGAGAAAAGAAAAATTAAAAAACAGCAAAACTGTTTCCTTTGTGACTGCATGTCAGTCCTCCAGGTGACTCAGAGGGAGAGTGAACTGACCCACCAGCCAGACTCTCCGAAAACAATCAAACTGTTCTCCAGTGGATCCCAGCTCACTGTGGCATACCAGGAAATGAGTTAGGAGAGATGCAAAAAATGAAATAAAGGAGAAAGAATACAACCATTCATTGTCATTGCCAAAAATCAAAACACTTATCAAGCTAAAATGCAAGGAACTGTGGAGCGGATAGAATATACTAACAGTAAACATCCACAAGACCCTATCAGCAAACTCAACAGAAAGAAACATTTAACAATTTTCCATCTACAAACAGGAAAAGGCAGGATAAACTGCCACATGCATCAAATAAAAACTGTACAGTCCCCACAGTGTGCCTGTCATACAGGACCTCAAACACCTGAGCACATTCTGCAGACCTGAACACTCTACCTAAAACTTTGAAAAAAAACCTAGCCTCAAAAGCAAAGTGTGCAGAGCAAGCTATGGGGAACCATGAAGGACCTGCTGCTGACATGCAAGATCATAGAAGCAACCCACCTGATGATCTGAACTGAGCATATGAAACCGAACGCAAAGAAAAAGAAAAAGAAGATAACATTTGTAACTCAAATATACTTCTTATTGTGCACACCATGTAACACCGGTCAATATGTCTATCCACAGTTTTCTGTCTTGTGTATTGGTAATCATTTTTGATTTAGATGTTGTTGCAGATCATGATGCCAAATTGCTAAATATACTTTCCCTTGGTGTTTCCCTCAAACATTCCTACTGTTATGACACTCCAGTTTTGTTCAAATAATGTGGATTTACTTCTTCTAATGTAGATAATTAGTTTATTATTTTCTTTCAAAAAATCTTCATTGTATTTATGTGTCCATGATGATCTCATCGTTCCCTTGAAATAATTCACCACTACCAAACATTGTAACATCTACCATAAACCGAAACATTGTAACATCTACCTTAAACTGAGACATCTACAACATATTAAGAAAACAAATATTTAACATCTGTAAAGTACTGTACCATAACTACAAAACTGAGGTATCTACAAAACACTGAGACAGAAAATGTAATATCTACCAAAAATGTAAACATTTACCAAGTACTGTAACATTTACTACTCTCAGCTACAAAACTAAGACATCTACCAAATGTTGAGGTGGTAAATATTGTAATATCTACAATGTATTGAGAAAATTACCCTGTACTGCAGAGACTAAAAAAATACTGAGACAGCAAATGTAATATCTACAAAGTATTTAAACATCTACTAAGTGCTGTAACATCTACAAAATAAAAATCCCATAGAATAAAAACAATCCACAACTAAGACACCTTCCAAATACCACAATATATACCAATTATTCAGACATTTTGGAAAAAATGCAATATCTAGCGAACACTGCAAGCATCCACCAAATATTTTAACACCCACCAATTCTTCATCCTGTTTTCAAGCTGGGGCAACAGAAAATCATTATGGAAAAGATAAATGCTCTTTGTGTTGGAAAACATGTGCTTGAGAGCATCTGCAGGCAGGAAAGACTGTTGGTGATTCTCACTATCTAAGCGTTCATAGAATACCTGGTGGAATGCAATTGTTGAAAAAGTTAAAACAACATAGGTAACTTGTGCACAGGTATTATGTGCAAACAAAAATATTTTCAAGCAATCGTTTAACAAAAATCTAGGGGTCAGCATGACAAAGTTGTGAGGCTGACTGTCTTGAACTCTGAGTCATGAATTCAGCCACGGACCTTGGTGAAGCTGACTGTCTTGAACTGTGAGAGTCATGGATTCAGCCATGGACCTTGGTGAAGCTGACTGTCTTGAACTGTGAGAGTCATGGATTCAGCCATGGACCCCATCCTACAGTTTGTGAGTACAGATGTTTCAAAGATCCCTAACGATCATCACAGGGAGTCAAGAAATTTGCTATACAAAGCTATATGGATCAAAACTCAGTGTAATAAAGTTTAGGGGGTTTCCGTAGTGAAGTGGGCAAGCCGTTTGCCTCCTTTTTGAAAGTCGTGGGTTTATTCACGTCTGTGTCATTCCTTCATGACTGGAATTTTTACATAGACCCCTGGGGACCATCCCAGGAGCAATGATGGTCATGCTTTTGTGTGTATGATATACTCAGCAAGCTTTTAGTGTTCTGTGGATAAAGACCAAGCCATTTAGAATAAAACCCAGCGCAATGAGGTCGATCTTCTTGACTTTAAGCTTTTACTTTACCCTATGAATCTGTTGGAATTTCCAGGAAAAACCTTAAAAAAAAATTGAGAAAAGGTCATTGCAAACATGTCCAAATACTAGCATGTACAGGACTGTGCCACAAGCAGAAATGACTACATTTAGTCTTCTTGCGGCAATCGGGTTAGGCCGTTTTTAAAAACCTCCGTCCGTTAGATTTGGATTCTTCCTTCCTTTTTCAGCATTTCAAGCCCTTCGGGTTCATTGCTGCAGATATCATTCCCCTCACTTCATCTCTGTGATTAGTCTTTTTTTTATTGGTGATTCCTAGTGTTTGTAGATCTGTCTGTATATTTTCTCTCCACCATCTTCTTGGTCTATTTCAGAGTCTGCTCCTATCAACTCTTTTGTGCAAACAGTTTTTGTCTCAATGTTATCTGCCATTCTCTCTATATGCCCCAACCACTGCAGCAGTCTATTAGCCCTCATGATGGCAGGCTGTGATTCTTCACAAGCTAAAATGCTTAGTATAGCACATCTCTTCTCTGCTATGTTTACTATCTGCTGTCTAAAGTGCTCAGGAAGTTTACAGGCATACATTGGCTTTATCTGGTTGCCTTTGTACTCATGATCACTGACCCCTACTTGACTAGAAACACAAACAACCTGTCAAACAGTTCCTCAATAAAAATGCTAATGCTACAACTATTTTTCATTTACAAGATCACCTGCACAAGTTACATTATGCCCTAAAGTGGAAGAGAAAGGGAAGGAACTATCTAGTCAGCTGAAAACATACCTGAACACTTCTCTGCTAGAAAAAAACAAAAACAAAACTCTGGAAACAAAAATGAAAGAACATCCTAAATAATATACAACAGCACTAATGCAAGGTTCCCTGTTGTAATTTGTTCAATTAAACAATCAATAACAAAACCTACATGGTGCAGCAGATGAAGAACTGCAACATAATCCTTCTCAGTCTGCAACAATTCTTGAGCAATATGAAACCTCTTGTCTTTGAGATTAACTTCAGACTGACTGTTGATCTAAAACAGTTAGGGGAAAAATACCAAAAATTGTATTCAGTGTACATAGTTTAATTGAAATACCATATTTTCTTAACAATGTAAAGTCAAATGGAGGTTTGGTAAAGCAATAGACAGCATGTCTGCCAGTCCTGTGACTCTATGTTTGAATCCCCATTAAAAGCAGTGATTTAAAAAGGCCCCTGATAAGTTTTACAGGCATATGCAGCTTTACCTTAGTATGATTTTTATATCTACAGGCCCATATTTGCCAGGGACAAACTAACTAAACTACAGGGCTTGATAAAGGGGTCGGGGAAAACAACGAATTTTACTGACTGATCAGGCCTCAAACATGTTAACATCAAGTCCACTTCATTTGACTGACAAAAGTGGAGAGAACTGACCAGTCAATAGCAAACGGTGGCCCAATGACACCAGACTTATGAGACTATGAAGATTATACATGCAAAAGAAATATAAATTTAGTTATTTTTGTCCACTCATGGCCAAACCAATAATGCTGGCTACCTAGCATGAACACTAGCCTTTTTTTTTTCTATGTTTATCTTTACAAGGGTGGTTGGCATATTGTGTTAAAGATTGCAGATAAGCTGTGATATCTGCGCCTTTCGACCCAACACAATCTGAGCAAAACCTTTAACTAGTTGCTTTTACCTACAAGGTTTTTAAAGGGCAGTGAGTTTATTCTTTATTTCAATGGAACCCACATGGGGTAAATACAAGTCGCAGATCAGATCTATGTCAACCTATGCCACTTGATCAAGCCATCCAGGTATTTGTCCCTTTGCCTTCCCTGCTCCTTCTCCATCAAGTTGTTCAACTGTCACTCAGTTTTCAGGATTATTTCTTCTCAAAAAAAAAAAAAACTCACCACTTTTTTGTATTGTATTGACCAGATTTTAGGCCAGTGTAGAGGAAAGGGGGGGGGGGGGGAGTCTTAAACACCTACTGCATAAATTAACATATTTCCTCAAGTAAAAGACACACCTTGATTTTGGGACTGGAAATGTAGAGGGAAAAAATATCCACCACGGAAATCAAACCCTTTTACTCCCTGTGTAGGTTCAGGGGCCCCAATATGGGGAAAACAAGAATAGACACACTGCCTCCCCAACAAGCATGTCATAAGAGTCGACTAGTTGGAGGTTTCCTTGGAAGTCAGAGTACATCTGTCTGAGAGGCATGGAACCAACAGTCTGCAAATAAAGTCAGATCTGGAAAATTGATGGGCATGCAACTCTCAGGTTCTGGAACAAGTCTAAAGTCCAGAGGTGGATGAACAACCAGAAACTTTCTGCCAGAGTTCACAGCCGGTGAACACAAAGAAGAAGAAGAAGAAACCCTAGTACTCAAGGATCACTGAATTGTTAAACAGATTCACTAACAGCTAAGTCAGAGAGCCGCACAACAAAAGCATCAAGAAAAAAAGATGAAGAAAAAAAAAGAACAGATGTCCAAAACTTACCTTTGTGTCAACTTGCTCCAGAACATAACAGCCTGATCTGTGTGCTTTCCTTCTGCCTGTAACCTCACCGCCACCACCATCATCACTGTCATCAGTGTCGTCACAGCTATCAGAATCTGACCAGCTGGAATCGAACAGCTCTGCTGCAGTTAATGAGGCTGGGTTGTCGTAAATCATACTGAAGACAGAGTCTCTATATTGTTCGCTGCTGCGTTTTGACACAGTCCTGATCAAAACATCATCGCTGTTGGTGTCTGTTGTCGAGGAACTATGTGTTGAATGTAACCACTGCTCAACTGTTTCCTTGTGGTGGGTCGAAGCAGCAGTGGCTTCCTTTAACAAATTGGGTGACAAAGGTGTTCTGGGCGGTGGAAATGTGGGCCTGGGTGAGTGGGGAGCAACAGAGTTTGATGGCTGCGCAAAGAATGCAGATGCTACAGCAGTTATCAGTGAGGGTATGATGGTTAGATTAGGTGATGGAGGGGGTGATTTCTGTGGATGTTTGGGTGTTATGGATGTTGATAATGTACTTTGTTTTGATGAGGAAACTGATATGGATGTAACTGAGCATACAGTTGGTGATTTAGGTGAATGTTTTGGTGGGATAGGTGTTTTAGGGGGAGGTCCTGGTGATTGGGTAGTGGATTCTGAATGGATTCTGGATGAAGATATTGGTGACAGTGGTGAAGTCAGTGAGGACAACTGTACAACTAGTGCTTCAGATGTTTGTGGATTTTGTGAAGATGCTGATACTGGGGATGCTTCAGGCGAACAAGTGTGTGGAGTTGCCTTGCAAGGTGACTGTGGAGACAATACTGAATCAGATGGTAGTGCTGAAGTCCTTCCTTTCAATGCTGGAACATTTGGCTTTGGAGGAACCTTTGGCTTTGAAGCATACTTTGCAGCAGATTTTGTAGAGTATGTTGACTGCTTGGGTTTTATTGCAGATGGAGATAAAGAAGCATATCCCATTGGTGATGTTCTGAAAGGTGAGCATGGCAATGAATAATGAGATTTTGTTTCCTCAGCTGCATGGAGTTGTGAATCAGATGATGTTATAGAAAGAGTTAAATTGTCCCTTGCTTCACCAGTTTTACTTGAGGGTGTTTTCTCTTCAGCTGAAATATGTAAGGAATGTACACTTTCTGCTTTTAGACGGAATTCAGACACTAAATGTCTGTTCGTTAGCCCTGTCCAATCAGGTTCCGAGTGATTGTTTAAATCAGTATCATCATGTGCTAGAGCATTAAACTTTCTCAAAGATCTGTCTTCTTTAAACTTCTGTTCTTCTGCTGCTTTGATTAGCTTGTGTACAAGATTTACCTGTACCTCATCATTTCTGGCACATATAACAGAACTTGCAGATTGTGATACTTCACTGTTGCTGTCTTCTTCTTCAATGTCCTCATCTTTCATTACTTTTAAAGTTCCCTGCTGGTTTATCTGTTCAGCAAGAGCTCTGACATACCCCTTAGCCATAACTGCTTCTGGAAAGGTGCTATCTTTAACAATGCTATAATAGTTCTTCCGCCACAAGTTGCTTTCCTCTGCCTGAAGATTTAGTGATGGCTTTTGAAGATCTTTAACTGAGGTGATTCCCAAGTTGGAGCGATCACTCTTTGATCTACGTAGTTTCCTGCCTCTGAATATAGAGTCATTTTGAGGTTGAACAGATGGTAATACTGCTTCAGACTGTTGTGTTAAATAATCTGGAAGAACAAGTGAATTTAGGCTTAAAATGTGTGACCCATAAACTATTACCTGGGAATTCAATTGTGTGTCATCAGCTAGTTCATACAATTCATTTAATTCTTCTATTTCACGTATACGATGTTCAGAAATGGGTGGATCTGGAAGTCTTACAACAGGATCAACATGTAACCATTTTGAGCATCCAAAAACTGATGTATGTGACACATCACAATCAATTTCTGGAAGTTCATAGGCATCAGAGTTGAGGTGACCAGTGTTGTCTTCCTGGCAAGCAAAGCAAATAACTTGTGAACGATCAGTAGACAATCTGCAGATGTTTATATCCTCAAAGAGAACTGGTAAATCACATTTGAAAACAGAACTTCACAACAGTTGAAGTGGTCACAATTTCTTTATCATATTCAAAAAAGTCTTCTTCCTCCACCACACGTTCAGCAGCTGGGACATCAGCAGGGGAAGAAATGATCTGGTTCGAGTCCTCAGATGAGAGTTGCTTCTGACTGTGTTTCTGTCTGCATGGAGATCTTCTAGTGAGGCTTGAATACCCAGTGATGATTCTGTCCACAAATTTCGGTCTGGAAATGACTGAGGAAAGAAAAGGACATAGGCATATGTAGATGTATGCAGATGAGTACATGTGTGAACATAATTTAAACATATACACACTCTCAATGGACACAAACTCCAAGCACAAAAACAAACCCACTTCCAACACACACACACACACACACATACACAAACTCACAACACGGACCTACACTCTCTAAACACACATGCTACCAAAACATACACTCCCAACACACACACACATGCTCCTAACACATACACACACACCCTCCCAACACATGCTCCCACCCCACATCCACACACAACCCCCAATGCACATGTACACACAACACAATCAGCCATAGGCATACAGAGGTAAAATTCAATAAATAATATAGCTGAAGCAAGCAATAAGAACTAGTAACAGGAAACTGCATCATTAAAGCACTTAAAGCACTGCAGGATGTTTCAAGAAGATACAAAAATGCTTAAACATTGGTCACAATGTTAGGTTTTCTCCTTCTTCTTCTTTTTTTGCATTCATCGGCTGTAAACTCAGGTGTAAAGTTCTTGTTCGTCCACTTCTGGACTGCAGTCCTGTTTCAAAACCCGAGTGTTGCGTGTGCATTTAAGAGATCCAACGCTCAAATCCTTGGTAAAAAAGTTAAAGAAATTTTATTTTGTCAGCTGCAGAAATAAAAATCTGAACATGAACAGTTCATAGCAAGTGCAATAGCAATGTAGCTCTAAATCAGGGGTTAAATTACGAATTACCAGCCAGGTCGTGGACCTTATGGAAAAAAAATTACATTAAAAACATACCACTCAGATTTCCTGGTAACACAACATTTTTGTGGGATAACCCAAGAGTATAATCCTTCGCTACGACTCTGGCCAGATAAAGTAACCCACTGAAGTGCTATTATATATTCCTAAATGTGTCTGTTTTAAGCTATTCGGCTATTTTGTGAGCTCAAGAGCCTGAACGTGTAGTAATTTAACCCCAGCCTTGTGAATCATGAAATATTGCTCTGTGTGCCAGTTCCTGGGGGCTTGGCCCCAGTTCACATCACCCTGCTCTAAATCTTCAGGCTCACCCCCTGTCCTGAAACTCCCTAAATACTGGTGAATACAGACAATCAAGTCAAGTTTTGTTTTTCATTGTGTAGACTCCCCATGTGGGTTCCAGGGCCCATTGTGGGGGAAAACAAGAACAGTCCCACTGCCTTCCCAAGAGTCAACTAGCTGGGGGCGTCCTTCGAATTCTGAGTGCATCTGCCTGAAAAGCAAGGATCCAACAATTGCATACAAATAAGTCAGATCTGTAAAACTGTGCGCACAAGACTCAGCTTCTAGAACAAGACTAAAGTCCACAGGTGGATGAACCACCAGAACGTTTTTTGCTAGAAAGTTTACAGCTCATGAATGTGAAGAAGAAGAAAAAGAAGACTGGGCAGACTAGCCCACTGCTGTGATAATTCCATAGACCTTCTTCTGTGTCGTTGTGTGTACACTGTATATTCTGGCTCCAACTGCTATTACACTTATCTATTTCAAGTGCCTGCAGTCTTTCAACACTGAGAGCACAGTGGCTCTGTGTAACTTAACCACAGTGTGTAATCCAACCGGCTTGACAGATAAACTTTGATAATCATACTGTGACCACATAAATGTATATATACACAAATATAAAAGTGAGTTCACACATACATGCGTAAATATATATATATATATATATATATATATATATATATATATATATATATATATATATATATATATATATATATATATATATATATATATATATATATATATATGTGTGGGTGGACTGTGTTGTGTGTGTGTGACTGTGTTTATAAAAATATATACTCCCATACAAACATATACACACACCCATATTTAATATATAATATACACAAATATATATATATATATATATGAGTGTATGTGTGTGTGAAAATATGTATATGTGTGTGTCATAAAATCAGATTAACATGTAATCTGCTAAAGATGAACACTTGGTTAACATGAACATATTTCGGGTCCCAGCATGGATGTATTATTCAGAACACATCTGCTAGTCCCCAGTTAGCATGCATTTCTGTAAAATGAACTAGTTGTAGATTGTGTGTTAACAATGATTTACTCTATATAAGTATTTGTGTGTGTGTGTGTGTGTGTGTGTGTTTACATGTGAATGTATGCATGCGAATGCTTGTATGTATATCAATCAATACATATATACACACAGACACATGCACATGTGGATTTTATGGGTGTATGTCAACAAAAATATCTGAAATGAAAACCTTTCTGACAGCTGTTGATGGCTGCAGGTGTTCAGTGTCAGTTACCAGACTTATAACACCAAAACATGGTATTAGTAAAAAAGTAAAGGACCTTTTCCCACGCCTTTCAGGTTTATTGGGTATGTAGGGCTAGACTTATATTTTACAGATCACACAGCACTTTTTGGGTGATGTGGTCATCATCAAGCCAACCGCCTTTACTTCCCAGGACTGTACCTGGTATCCATTCAAGGCAAAACATCGTGTAGTAACAGTAGTAATGAACACTGTGCTGTCAAATGGGTCACCAAAATGATGCAGATACTTCAACGTTTAAAATGATTAAGATAAACTATGAAAACCACCAGTCACCCAGAGAAATTCAATAAGTAGGTGGATGATGGTGACTGATGAGCTCATTGAGAGCCTGCGGACAACCAAATAGTCCCTTCACAGTGTGGACAGCAGATGCTAGACACACTAGTAGAGTTGTTTGTCCCACTGATTTTTCTATTTTAATGCATAGTAAAACAGGACTTGAAGCTTTGAACTTCCTTTCCAATATGGTGGATTTGGTTGGCCCGATTCACTCTTGGCAATTGATTTACCTGTGGTCACAGTCTGGAGCTACATCTTCCCCATATGTGGACTGCAGGTATGCAGTTCCCTAGCCCAGCTACTGAGCTAAATGTTTTATAACTGTGGTGTTTTGTATTGTGGTCTGCATGTTCAGAAAATGGTGGGTGGACTGTTTCCATAGAACTGATGATGACGTGCGACAATATCGCATGTGATTTGTTCTAAATGCTGCTTCAACTGCCGATAAACTGCAGTTCTAGTGGCAGACTATGCTGGCACTTATGACGGCTGCCTTATACATTTAATGTGCATAGCAGCTTATGCTAATGTGTATATGGGAGTATAATGTTGGATTTGCCAACAATCTGTTTTTAGAAGGGACAGCGATAGACATTCTATGTGGTTTTCTTTGTCATGTGACGGAGAAATCTGCCGTGAAGCTGAACTGCAACTAACTCCCTCCCTCTACAGAAGACCCAGCTGCCCACGCGAGGTGTGAAGCACGGTTTTGGACAGGTACATATAGCCCAACTTCAGATTGCTGTCTGAGCCTGAAATGACCGTCCTTCATATTTTCTACTTCACGATACAATGAGAAACAGGTAGAGACGTTTTAACGGCACTATGGGCTCCAGGGCAAACCAGTGCGCTGCGGCCCTTACGACAACCACAGGAATTAAATGTAAATGGTCGATAGCACTGAAAGATTAGTATAGAGCCCCTTGGCTCGGGGCGTCCCGAGGCAAGTGCCCCAGGAGCCGGTGCGTTAAGATGGACATGTTATAGCCAGTTATTTTTACTCGTCGAAAGTTCACAGAAAATTCTAAACACAATGCATTGTGCCTATTTGTACTACACTGTCTCAACAGCAGAGCCGCGTGCATTGAACAAGAATTATCCCGACTCCAGTAGCACTCACTTGCCCCCACACAATATTAGCACTCACCCACACAATGTTAGCACCACACAACAGTAGCACTCACTTTTCCCCACACAGTATTAGCACCACACAACAGTTGCATCAGGCAGATATGGTGCTGATATAGAATTAACATTGGAATAGAATACTGGTGATACAGACGCAACACTGAAATAGAATGTTGGTGATAATTGACTCATCACTGAAATGTTGGTGATAACTGACTCATCACTGAAATAGAATGTTGGTGATAACTGACTCATCACTGAAATAGAATGTTGATGATAACTGACTCATCACCGAAATAGAATGTTGGTGATATAGAATGAACTAGTTCCATATTGACCTTGCCAACTGTTAGTTAGTCTGTTGTTTTGTCTCTGTGTGTGCATGCATGCATGCATGCATTTATCATCTTTCTTTTTATCTAACAGTCATGTTATGTATAACAGAAAGCGCACAGTTAAAACAAAAACATATTGAAAAAAATAAAAAAAAGAATTACCCCGACTCTGTTGGAGACTGAAGCAGGACCAGGGCTGATTTTTCTGGCGGTACGCAACGATAAGCTGTAGCGGCTATTTTTTTTTTTTTTTTAGGCATTCTTTTTTAATTGCCACTATAATAGAATTTTGTCCTGAGTAACGACACCTCTTGTACCCCTTTCTGCTGAGTACCGGCATCTTTTTTTCCCTAGAAGAAAACACAATCTGCAGACCACTATCTTGGCGGACACGCTCCACCGTCTCAGAAACACAAGAACCTCTAGATAAAGAATGAAATAGTTACAGAGTACAAACCTCAGATAGAGCCACGGAAGTGCAGTGGTTAGAAGCCGGCCTGCTGGTCTTTAGTTAGAATTTGCACACAGTTGGACTGTTTGGTTAAACTGACCTCGACTCCACAGATGACCCTCTCTAAAAGGGTATAAGGCAATGTCCTAGGAAGGAAACGTGGCCGGCGTGATGTTCACCACAACATCAACCGAATATCAGCACAT